ACCAATGAACCATGAAAATGAGTTCAAGGTCAGATGAACCATGCCAGGCAGACATGTACAGCTTACAATCCTTCCATACAACACATATAGTTGACCTATTACTTATAGTTTAAGAAAAACAGACCAAAACACAAAAACTTAACACTGAGCAATGAACCGTGAAAATGAGGTCAAGGTCAAATAAAACCTGCGAGACTGACCTGTACATCATAAAATATTTCCATACACCAAATATAGTTGACCTATTGCATATAGTATTAGAAAAAAAGACCAAAACTCAAAAACTTAACTTTGACCACTGAACCATGAAAATGAGGTCAAGGTCAGATGACACCTGCCAGTTGGACATGTACACCTTACAATCATTCCATACACCAAATATAGTAGACCTATTGCATAAAGTATAAGAAAAACAGACCAAAACACAAAAACTTAACTATAACCACTGAACCATGAAAATGAGGTCAATGTCAGATGACACCTGCCAGTTGGACATGTACACCTTACAATCCTTCCATACACCAAATATACTAGACCTATTGCTTATAGTATCCATGACCACCAAAACTTAACCTTGCTCACTGATCCATGAAATGAGGTCTAGGTCAAGTGAAAACTTTCTAATGGGCACGAGGACCTTGCAAGGTACGCACATACCAAATATAGTTATCCTATTACTCAAAATAAAAGAGAAATTAACATTACTTTTTTTCCAAGTAGTCACTGAACCATGAAAATGAGGTCAAGGACAATGGACATGTGACAGACGGAAATTTCGTAACATAAGGCATCTATATACAAAGTATGAAGCATCCAGGTCTTCCACCTTCTAAAATATAAAGCTTTAAAGAAGTTAGTTAAAGCCGCCGCCGGATCACTATCCCTATGTCGAGCTTTCTGCAACAAAAGTCGCAGGCTCAACAAAAAATTAAGTTTTAAGTGAAAATTCAAAAGAACCATGTTGTTGAAACTAGAACATGTGTGCGCATATGTGAGATTTAATTTTGCATCCGAATTCTTCAAAAATGCTAACAATATCATTAATACCTTTATTTTATGTTCATTTCAAGTATTTTCAAGAAAAAATAACGTGGACAGATCTATTTAAACTCATTGTGCTTTGAAAGCGTACATGGATTTAACGCGTCATCTCTGGTCCGCATTTTATCATTGTCAAGTCAACATCCGGTATTAGGAAATGTGCTTTAAAAAGAAAGTACAGTTCTGACAGATTGATATTGCATTAATAAAGAGTCTAAGGCAGATTTTAGTACACTTATGTTGAACATTTAGTTTGATGCACTGTCAATTTAACATTTTACATCAAATTTATATCAAAAGTCTGAAGCTTAATATCGTTTTATGGCTATCATTGTTATGATGCCAACATTTTCAAAATGATTGACTTTGTTACTAAGTCTCACGGGACTGAAATCTGAATCAGAGGAAAATCTCCAGCTGACTCAAATATTTGTTTGAAGCCCTGTGTCATATGGTATTTTGAACCCCATGGAAAATCGACCCCGGGGTCAAAATACCGCTATGGTAAAATGAACCCCCCCCCATGGTATATTGAATCCCCCTTGTATGGAAAATTTACCCCCATGGTAATTTGAACTCCCCTGTTTTTTTCATTCTAGATAATTATTAGAACATTATACATTATTTAAAAGCTTATTATAGATTGAAAATCAGACATGCCAAAAGGGGAGGTAAATTTTCCATGGTAGGAAAAAAAATTCCATGGCTTGGTATGGGTGCTGAAGTCTTTACCAACAAAATTTCATTCAAACTACTTATTGAAGCATTATGACTAGAACATGAACCTTCAATGTTTTGATTATTTGAAATCCTAAAATAAAAAGGGAGTTAAATTTCCCATGGTAAAAAAGGGGGAGGGGGTCAAATTACCATAGCTCAGTAAAATTGTTAAAACATCTTTACAATATGACTTATATGTACCATATATTAATTAGAGTATTAAAACTTTTAAAAGTAGTTTGAAATAAATTTGATTTTTGAAAATGGAGGTGTAAAGACAAGGGGATTCATGGCAAGGGGGGTCAAAATACCATATCTAAGAAAAATGGTTAAAAAATCTTTTCCATCATGTATACCAAGTACTACTTACAGCATTATAACTATGTAAAATAGTTTGAATAGATATGAATTTTCCAGCATGTTGAATACATACAAACTACTTATTACAGTATTTTAACTATGTAAAGGAGTTATAATAGCTAGAATTTTTGAAATTCGAGGTCTATAGTAGGGGGTTCAATATACCAGATGTTTTGTAATTTTACTTAGCCATGGTATTTTGACCCCCCTGTCATGGTATATTGAACCCCCTGCTATAGATCTCTAATTTCAAAAATTCAAGCTATTCTAACTCCTTTACATAGTTATAATAGTCCAATAAGTAGTATGTATGTATTTAACATGCTGGAAAAGATGTTTTTGAAATTTTACTTAGCCATGGTATTTTGACCCCCCTGCCATGGTATATGAAACTCCCTACTATAGACCTCTAAAAAATGAAGAATGTGTCCCCATGGACAGTTAGAAAATGGAAACTAAAAATTTTGCATTTTTTTTCCATTTATAAAGGGGCATAACTCGAGAATGGTTAAAGTGACCCCACCAAAATTCAAACTTGATCTGTATTTTGTGGTAATAAGCATTGTGTATAAGTTTCATAACATTTGGTTAAAGCAAACTTAAGTTAGAGAACGGAAACTAAAAATTTTGCAATTTTTCCATTTATAAGGGGACATAACTCTAGAACGGTTAAAGTGTCGCCACCAAAATTCAAACTTGATCTGTGTTTTGTGGTAATAAGCATTGTGTATAAGTTTCATAATATTTAATTGGTTGAGGAAAACTTAAGTTAGAGAACGGAATCTAAAAATTTTGTAATTTTTCCATTTATAAAGGGGCATAACTCTAGAATGGTTAAAGTAACGCTACCAAAATTCAAACTTGATCTGTATTTGATTGTAATAAGCATTGTGTATAAGTTTCATACCATTTGGTTGAGGCAAACTTAAGTTAGAGAACGGAAACTAAAAATTTTGCAATTTTTCCATTTATAAAGGGGCATAACTCTAGAACGGTTAAAGTGACACCACCAAAATTCAAAATTGATCTGTGTTTTGTGGTAATAAGCATTGTGTATAAGTTTCATAACATTTTTTGTTGAGGCAAACTCAAGTTAGAGAACGGAAACCAAATTTGGGACGTACGGACGTACGTACAGACGGACAAGGGTAAAACTTAATGCCCCCTCTTCTACGGCAGGGGCATAATTACAAAAAAATCTAGCTATTCTAACTCCTTTATATAGTAATAATACTCCAATAAGTAATATTCAATGGGCGTCACTTCAGACAATAGATGTGGACAACAAACAAACGAGTAGAACAAGTTACCAACGGCAATATTATTTCAAATCCTTTGAGTTGTGTATAGAAGAATTAGTCAGCTTATTGAAAATTGCTGAACGCTTGTATAGTTTTTTGGTTTAATTGAAAATCGAGGTAATTTTTATGATAAAACTCACAACAACAGATGTGAATTCTTGGTTTTAATGCTGTTAAAATAAAGGGAAACATTTTGCAGTGAGCGATCAGCAGTTTTTTATGGAGTAAAGGGTATCTTTTACCATACCATGAAATTACATGGCGAAATTTTATAGTATGGGAACTTGTTCTACAGGCTAAATCATATGGGAAATAAGTCATATTGTAAAATCATGTGACGACTTAAACACCACCTTAAACACCACGTTTGACATAAGAAAATATTTCCCTGGTAGACGTATCTACAATGTGTACCACATAAACAATTCTGGAATCAATTTTTCTTTCAAAATGGAATATAAATAAACTAGAGGCTCTCAAGAGCCTGTTTTTTTTTTGTCGCTCACCTGTATTTATTGTTGCTTTGGAAATCATGTAAAATAAGGTTAAAATCATAATTAATAGTATTAGATATTAGATATTAAAATGATATCTAGGATTATGTATCTTAGAAACTATAAGCAATAGGTCAACTATATTTAGTGTATTGAATGATTGTAAGGTGTACATGTATTTCTTGTTTGGTTTATATGACCTTGACCTCATTTTCTTGGATCATGTTAAGTTTATGTGATAGTTGTAGTTAAGCTTTATATTTAGAACTATCAACATAATATCAATGATTAGTAAAGAAGGCGAGACATTTCAGCATGTGCACTCTTGTTTTTAAATGGGAGGAAAATGCTGACCTAGATTTTTACCTTATATTTAGCATTGGCATTATTTTGGTCTCAAATTGTAAGAAAAAAGTTTAGAATCAGCTTACATTTTGGTAATGACCTTTTTATGAGCTTTTGAAGTCTGTCTATGAAAAGAAAAGTGGGCGATATGGGCCAAAATATTTTAAACTGTATCGTAGGAAAAACCCCAAGGAGTCAGAACATCTGACACAAATTCATAAACCTGACCTAACTACATCCTTAAGTCAGGCATATACTGTGGATTCATTTATTTTCATGGGTACCAATTTTTGTGGATTGAGGAAAACTTGTATTATCTTGGATAATTGATTCCGTGGTTTTTCAAAAATCTGCATATAATTAAACAGCAAATTTGTAATTCGTTGAACATTTAATTCGTGGTTTCCCTGTACCCATGAATTCAACAAAACTTGGTATTCAGCGAATATTATAATGAATCCATGGTACGTCAAGATATATATCATGTATATGTTAGATTAATTGACAGTGAATGACTGCACACAATTACCTGTGAATAAGTTATCATAGGCACCTTTATTTTTGTTCCTCGTCTAAAAGCCACATTGAGTCCTCAAACATGGAGCAAAATCTCACCTCAAAACAGCCACTATTTATAAGTTTAATCAGAATATTTCGTATTTCCATACAGTGATAACAGATGATGTCAGATAAACAAAAGAATAATTAAAATAGGTCTTTCAAATATCTTTGTAGATAATAAAGTTCCAACTGAAATCGAATTAATGGCTGACAAAACATCTGTACCTTTGTACCTCAAATTACTTGAGTCAGGCTCTGAGAAAAAGAGAGACATACGTTTAGTAATCGTTGGAAAGAAAGGTGTGGGTAAGACCTCATTGGTTAAAAGATTATTCAACGAAGGAAAGAAAGGTGCTGGACTAACATCATTTTTTAAAAGATTGTTTGGAGGAAATAATGCAGATGTTACAAGCACAAATGGAATAGAAATTCATATGATAAAATGCAAAGCAAAATCTGGTGATAGCATTTGGAATAGATAAGAAGGTATGGCATGTATGGTATTATAAACAGTTTAACTTAACTGTTTTTCCTTTCTCTACAACAGACATGTTATGTCTATGAATTAACCATTACATCAGTTTGAAGGTCAGAGATGTTTTGACAAATTACATCACTAATTAACAATTGTGGAAGTAAGGTTTCAACCTGAAACAAAATGAAATAGACTAATTTTAGTTTCAGATTTATTAAGTCACCTTATCTATTCGAAAAAAATGCTTAAAATGTAATGCACTACCCACTATCCACATGATCCATTTCTGCTAAAATTTTATGACGACTCCTAGATCTTTGTGCACCTCAGTTTTAGGAAAACGCTTTAGTTATTGCGATACTCGTGCAGTAGCAATATTCGCTTTAATAAAAACCTTGCAATAATTTCTGAATTTACAGTATTATATTTCAAACACCGGCCTGAACATATCAAAGACATTGAAATTGGTATTTGCTGCTGCTCTGTAAGAATGTATCATTAAGAAGCAAGAGCAAAGACTGAATAAGAATAATGTGTCTGGTTAGGGTGACATGTCTTTATGTGTACTTTTTGAACTAGCATGTTAACAATCTAGCTCAGAAAGTCGGTCTCGAACAAAGCAGGGTTAATATTCAAATTATATTAACATGTTCTAGTCCTGAACATGCATTTGATTTGCAGCTGAAGGTTGAGCAGCCATCCATCATCATCACCATCATCACCTGACACCACCATTATCCAATTTCAGCATTTTTGTTTTGCCTTGAGTAAAAAGTTTTAAATTGAGAGACATAAGTGATGCTAATCCGGTGTCAAACTATTTGTGTAACCTTTTATATTCTAGAAGGTAGACGACACTTATGCTTCATACCTTGTATATAGATGCCTCATATACGAAGTTTCCGTATTTCATATGTCCAATGATCTTGACCTCATTTTTAGCTCACCTGGCCCGAAGGCGTCCGTCACTTGGCGTCCGTCGTCCGGCGTCGGCGTTAACTTTTTACATTTTGAACTTCTTCTAGAGAACCACTGAATGGAACGAAACCAAACATGACATGAATGTTCCTTATGAGGTGCTGACCAAGTGTTGTTACTTTGTAGCCGATCCATCATCCAAGATGGCCGCCAGCGGGGGACTTAATTTAACGAAATGCATACAAATGACTTCTTTTAGAGAACCACTGAATGGAATGAAACCAAACATGGCATGAATGTTCCTTATGAGGTGCTCACCAAGTGTTGTTACTTTGTAGCCGATCAATCATCCAAGATGGCCGCCAGCGGGGGACTTAGTTTAACATAGGACCCTATGGGAAATGCATACAAATGACTTCTTTTAGAGAACCACTGAATGGAATTAAACCAAACATGGCATGAATGTTCCTTATGAGGTGCTCACCAAGTGTTGTTACTTTGTAGCCGATCCATCATCCAAGATGGCCGCCAGCGGGGGACTTAGTTTAACATAGGACCCTATGGGAAATGCATACACATGACTTCTTTTAGAGAACCACTGAATGGAATAAAACCAAACATGGCATGAATGTTCCTTATGAGGTACTGACCATGTGTTGTTACTTTGTAGCCGATCTATCATCCAAGATGGCCGCCATCGGGGAACTTAGTTTAACATAGTACCCTATTGGAAATACATACAAATGTCTTCTTTTAGAGAACCACTGAATGGAATGACACCAAACATGGCATGAATGTTCCTTATGAGGTGCTGACCAAATTTTGTTACTTTGTAGCCGATCTGTCATCCAAGATGGCCGCCAGCGGGGGACTTAGTTTAACATAGGACCCTATGGGAAATACATACAAATGTCTTCTTTTAGAGAACCACTGAATGGAATGAAACCAAACATGGCATGAATCTCCCTTATGAGATGCTGACCAAGTGTTGTTACTTTGTAGCCGATCCATCATCCAAGATGGCCGACAGCAGGGGACTTAGTTTTACATAGGACCCTTTGGGGAATACATAAAAATGTCTTCTTTTAGAGAACCAATAAATGGAATGGAACCACACATGGCATGAATGTTCCTTATGAGATGTTGACCAAGTGTTGTTACTTTGCAGCCGATCCATCATCCAAGATGGCCGACAGCGGGGGACTTAGTTTAACATAGGATCCTATGGGAAATACATACAATTGTCTTCTTTTAGAGAACCACTGAATGGAATTGAACCAAACATGGCATGAATGTTCCTTATGAGTTGCTGACCAAGTGTTGTTACTTTGCAGTCGATCCATCATCCAAGATGGCCGCTAGGGGGGGGCTTAGTTTAACGTAGGACCCTATGGGAAATACATACAAATGTATTCTTTTAGAGTACCACTGAATGGAATGAAACCAAACATGGCATGAATGTTCCTTATGAAGTGCTGACCAAGTGTTGCTACTTTGTTGCGGATTTACTGTTCAAGATGGGCACCAGGATATTTTATTAAATAACGGGACCAATATTAATCAAAATTTGGCCTCAATCATTATTTGGGTATCTGTTATGATTTTTATCTATCTTTACATGATTTCTAAAACCAAAGTAGAGTCAGGTGAGCGACAAAGGCTCTTGAGAGCCTCTAGTTCATGTTTTAACATCTGCTTAAAAAATTATAGCGCTTTTTTGTCATATGAATTTCTGACTTATTATCAGTAATAATATAATGATATTTGGTGTAAATGATTCTTGCAAGGTGTACATGTTCGTCAGACAGGGTTCACCTGACCTATACCTCATTACATGGATGTTTTTCATACTAGAAGCAGTAGGTCGGAAGTTGAACTATATCTGGTGTGGAAAATTATTAAGGTGTACATGTCCGTTAGGCAGGTTTTCTCATTTTAATGGTTAACTGGTAAATATGATTTTTTTTGTGTTTTCGTCTGTTTAATATAGAAGCTATAGACCAGTCAGAGCTCAGACATCAATAAGTCTAAATCTGCTTTTGACTCATAGAGGTCTACATTTGTAGGTTTCAAGATTTGTCTCCCTTTAATTTAAGACAAATTATGACTTCAATAAGTCAATTAGTGTTAAGCAAGAAATATTTGACCTGAATTAAAAAGTTGCAAATATTGACTCCTACAAGTCAATAAGTTACCAAAATTGGTCAACTTCAAGACCCAAGCACATTTATAAAAAGGTCAAGCATCTACATGAAATTATGACAACTGTGAAAGACAATGCTTTGTCTTCTAAAGAAAAATATATATGAGAGTCTAAAAAAACGGAGATGTTTATTTACTACAATGCAACCATCTATAACCACACAAAATGAGAAAAATAATCTTATGTTAAGTAAAAATGTTCAATTAGATAATTAAATATAGATAGCTCAGGTCCGTCTGAACTCTCAGACAGGTTTATGATGTCATAGGAGGTACACTTTGGCCACCAATTAAAATTAAGTCTTTTCATAAACATAAATAGATCTAAACAAGTCTGTCATTTTCTGACTAAAATAACTCTGAAAATGAAAACACATTTTTTGTCTTCTGTAAGTCAAAAACAAAAAAACTACTTGTTTATGTCTGAGCTCTGACTGTAGTGTAGACTAAATAAATCGGTTCAATACTGAATTTCACAGTAACAACTAAAAAACATGTAAAGGGGGTAATAGTCCCACTATGTGAAAGCTCTAGTTTTACCAAGTGATTATCAGGCTCTTGGCTTTCTTGGGAGCCTCTTGCCTCAAATAGTTTGACTATGTAAACAGTGTATAGAAATGTTTTCTTTTTTCAAATTTTAAAATAATCCTTGTTATTTATCTTAGGGTGTTAACTCTATTCACTTTACAATTTTGTTCGAAATTCAAGTGGAAGAGAGAAAAAGCTGTTTTTGTACATTTTAATTTTAAGAATGAGTCCCTCTCCCTCCAACCTACATGGCAACAGTCGCTAAGAATAGGAAAATTAGAAAAGAAAGAGATGTTACCAAGGGGTCAATAGAGTATCATAAGTCAAGAAATGTTATATGCAAGTAATAGCTTTTATAGTTAGGAAAAATATTTGAAAATATTTGAAATAAAAATATGCTCACAATACAAAGATACATCTCTAACAAACCAAATGTTTTAGACCATTCCTTGTAGAAGTAATTGCTCTTTAAATATAAATGATTGAGTCTCACAAACACGATTTTTATAGACTTAGCATACCCCATTCTAGAAAGTAGCTTGTATATAGTGTTTGACCCGATGAAGTTTGGAGACTTATCATACCCCATTCTAGAAAATAGATTGTATATAGTGTTTGACCCGATGAAGTTTGGAGACTTATCATTACCCATTCTAGAAAATAGATTGTATATTGTGTTTGACCTGATGAAGTTTGGAGACTTATCATTACCCATTCTAGAAAGTAGATTGTATATAGTGTTTGACCTGATGAAGTTTGGAGACTTATCATACCCCATTCTAGAAAATAGATTGTATATAGTGTTTGAATTGAGGGAGTTTGGAGACTTATCATACCCCATTCTAGAAAATAGATTGTATATAGTGTTTGACCTGATGAAGTTTGGAGACTTATCATACCCCATTCTAGAAAGTAGATTGTATATAGTGTTTAACCCGATGAAGTTTGGAGACTTATCATACCCCATTCTAGGAAATAGATTGTATATAGTGTTTGACCTGATGAAGTTTGGAGACTTATCATACCCCATTCTAGAAAATAGATTGTATATAGTGTTTGACCCGATGAAGTTTGGAGACTTATCATTACCCATTCTAGAAAATAGATTGTATATAGTGTTTGACCTGATCAAGTTTGGAGACTTATCATACCCCATTCTAGAAAATAGATTGTATATAGTGTTTGACCCGATGAAGTTTGGAGACTTATCATTACCCATTCTAGAAAATAGATTGTATATAGTGTTTGACCTGATGAAGTTTGGAGACTTATCATACCCCATTCTAGAAAATAGATTGTATATAGTGTTTGACCCGATGAAGTTTGGAGACTTATCATTACCCATTCTAGAAAATAGATTGTA